CGTGGTGGCGGGCTGGCGCTCTGCTCGGGCTGCGGGGGCGCGCTGAGGCCCGGCTCGGTGCCCGGAACAATGGTGGTTCCAGAACGCGGTGGGGGGGACCTCCGCGGCGCCTGCAGGAGGCGGTGGGACCGGAGGCGGGGTTGCGGAGGCGGGGGAGACGAGATCAGCCCCCCGTTACGTGACGGCACGTTGCCGTGACGGTGTTCGTCCGTGTGGGGAGAAGTGTGATGAAGGGGCTGGGGATCGAGCTCGGCGGCGCAGCGCCTGCCAGGCAGACGCAGGGTCGTGAGTTCGAGTCCCGGTACCGGAAAGCAAAACAAAACAAGCAAAAAAGTGTATGATTAAAAGTAAATGGGTTTTTAAAATCTTTCAATAAATTGGTTAACTGGAAACTTAAGTTTTATGTGGCTTTTATTATATTCCTGATAGATGCGCCTCAGGACGGTCCATCCCTTTGTGGGAGTGGGCCCCTTCTATATCCTTGGGCCGGCGCTGCCTCGGTAGTCCCGAAACCTTGGAAGTGGGGGTTTGAGTATGTTTGGTAATTCTGTTCTAACGGGGTGGTGTTCTCACTGACCAGGGAAATTTTCTTCTACCCCGCATCTTTTAGCTTTCTCTCTCTGGCTCATAACCATGTCCACCAACGAGAATGCTAGTTCACCAGCTGCCCGGCTGAACAGATTCAAGAACAAGGGAAAAGACAGTACAGTGAGTACTTTCTGTTGCTTTCCTTCAGTGTATATGTATATTTTTTTCTTCAAGAAGGAATACACAGTTTTAATGCCAGTTACAGTTAAGAAACTTTTTCCATACTCCGAATGAGCCCCTGGTAATTTCTTCAGCTAACACATTAGTATTCTAATTTTTTTGTTTGTCTCTTTGTCTTTTTGAGACAGGGTTTCGCTATGCAGTTCAGGCTGGCCTTGAACTCACTTTGTAACCCAGGGTGGTCTCCAGCGATCCGCCTGCCTCAGCCTCCCGAGTGCTGGGATTACAGGCGTGCGCCACTACGCCTGGCCACATTAGTATTCTTCTTTCCCCACCTTCAGTGTTTTTTAAACGGAAATATATTTGAGAATGGGTGAAACCTTTGAAAGACTTTTTCAAATGCTCTCATCTGGCAATAAAAATGGATGCAGAAGGTGAAAGAATCTGTTGTCTTTTCTCAAGGAAATGAGGCGGCGTCGAATAGAAGTTAATGTGGAGCTGAGAAAAGCTAAGAAGGATGACCAGATGCTGAAAAGGAGAAATGTAAGCTCGTTTCCTGATGATGCTACTTCACCACTGCAGGAAAACCGCAACAACCAGGTAAATGTATTTCAGTTTATAAGTTATGGTGAATCTAGTAATTTAATATGGACATGTCTTGTGGTTTTGACTGAAGATTTTTTTCTGTCTCCCCCGCATCAGTTCTGATGGATTGTCTTATTTTTTAGGCATCCCCTAAGCTACTGAAGCTGATTCCAAGGTTATCTTTTAGTTTTGGCATTTCTAGCCATTAGTTGGATATTCTGACTGGGCAACAACTTTGTGTGACTTATTTCTGACTTTTGAAGTATTTTTTTTACTTGGCATCAGTTTTGTTGTTTTCTTTCTGAAATAGTTAAAAGTGACTTTCTAATTTATCTTTTCTCTCTATTCTAAAAGTTTTGCCAAAAGTACATGTGCTGCACCATTTCTATCAACTACAGATTGCATGTGTGATGATGGGTCCATAAGATTATAATAGGACTAGAATAGGCATTCATAATTAAAGAGGAAGCAAGAGGAAAAAAAAAACCACCAAGAAAAGATGTAGTGAAGGACCTGCCAGAAGGTTTCGCAGACCTCAACCATCTCCTTAAAAAGCTTAAAAAACGTGGGTCCCAACACTGGAAGATTTTCACTAATAGATCAGAATAGTCATGTACATTATCTGGTTAAAGATAAATTTGTGATCAAAATGAAGAACCAAGGAAGGCATATAACGTGCCTATAGTGCCAGCACTCTGGGAAGCTGAGGTAGGATTGCAGGTTCAAGCCAGGCTGGGCAGTTTTCTTTTTCTTTCTTTTTTTGTGGTGCTGGGGATCAAACCCAGGGCCTTGTGCGTGCAAGGCAAGAACTCTGTCACTGAGCCATACCCCTAGCAAGCCTGGGCAATTTAGTGTCGTGGCCATATGCCTTCTCAAAATTAAATTAAAAATAAAAACTTGAGGGCTAGGATGTAGCTCAGTGTGAAGGTCCTGGGTTCAATCTCTAGTACTGCAGAAAATGACCCAATAACACAGATACCACTTTGAAGCCACAAGTGGTGGTGGGTGTGGCGGTGCTTGGCTTTAAGTTCATCCTATCTCAAGGTTGGCCCATATGGCAGAGAAGAAACAGACCATAGCAGGCAGGAGGCAACCTTACTTTCCCTTTTATCCCATCCAGGCTACAAGCCTATTGGATGGTGCTGTCCACACCCAGGAGGCCTTCCCATTAACTACACCAAGAACCGTGGTTAAACAAAAAAAAAAAAAGGGCTGGGGATATAGCTCAGTGGCATAAAGGCCTGCCTGGCACACGCAAGGTCCTGAGTTCAATCCCCAGCACCTCAAAAAAAGAAAAAAAAACCCTGGTAAACCAGTCAGTGGACTAATCCAGTTATTACGCCCTTGATCCATATTCACACACCCACTCATGATCCAGTCACTCCTGAAGCCACACCTGGGAGCATGTGAAAGTTAGATACAAACTATAACAATGAAGAAAAGATATTTTTAATAAATTTAGAGTAGCCTAAGTATTCAGTGTTTTAAGTGCTTGGTTGTAGGATATAGTAATGTCCCGGGCTTTCAGTTAGCACTCACTCAGTGATTCCGCCATTTCCAGTCATCCACGCTCCACGGCAAGTACACTACAGAGGCATACCATTTTTTCTTTTGTTTTTTATTCTGTGTATTTGTTTATTTTTGGTTTTTTTCCGGTACCAGGATTCGAACTCACAACTTTGTACTTGGCAGGCAGGCACTGTGCCGCTGAGCTAAATCCTCAGCCCTCTATTTATTTTTGGTGTTTTGAGATGGGAGTCTCACTGTAGGTTGGTCTTGACCTCACTATGTAGCCCAGGCTGGCCTCCAACTCCTGATCATCCCTAAATGCTGGGATTGCAGGTATATGCCAGAACTCCCATATTTTTTGTATCTTTTCTACATGTAGATCTGCTTAGGTAAAGAAATATTTAACAAAAAAAAAAAAAAACATTTAACAGTATGTTCGATTCTTTACAGTATTCTTGTGGAGAAGGACATTCTTTAGTTACTGTTTTGTGTATTGGCTGAGGCCTGACCAAGCCATGATTGCTGGGTTCTGGACGAAGTCTAGCATAAGCATTGTAAGCTCCAGGATCAGTACTAGATGCTTTGCTGAGATACGGGCAAAGGAAAGGAAGATAACCCGATGGCTTTCTGTCAGGTCTCATTCCTATGATAATTGAGTGGTACTGTCCTCACTAAAACAGTTGATATACTGCCATTCCTCTGCTGCCTCCTTGGCGGATTCTGAATAAAAGGTTACTAAAGAGGGTAATCAGGAGTCAGTCAGTCCTAAAAGATGCTAGCACCTGATCACAGAATTTGGGCTCTCTTGGTTTGATATTTTCTTACCTTTCATGTACATCTGCGGGCACCTAGTGGGGGATCTGTTCACCCTGGACAGAGTTGGATGAGAAGTCTGACAAATTCTAGCATGCTGCCTGGGTTAATAGCCCAGGAGGATTAGGCTATACCAAATACTGTAAGTATGCTATAGGGTCTCCCATACAGGTTTATCTAACGATAACAAAATCATACAACTCCATATTTCTCAGTATATCTCCAGCATGAAGTGGTATGTGACTGTACTGTTTAGACATATTCTCTGCTCAGTATCCATACACAATGAAGGCCTACCATAAAGTAGATCTAGCTTAGGTTTATAAATGTATCTCTTCAAAAATACCAGGTCTTGCCGGGTGTGGTGGCACACACCTGTAATCCCAGCACTCGCCTGTAATCCCAGCACTCGCCTGTAATCCCAGCACTCCCCTGTAATCCCAGCACTTGCCTGTAATCCCAGCACTCGGGAGGCTGAGGCAGGAGGATCGTTGCGAGTTCGAGACCAGCCTGGGCAACAAAGTGAGCTCAAGGCCAGCCTGAACTGCATAGCGAGACCCTGTCTCAAAAAGACAAAAATTAAAAAAAACAAAAACAAAAACAAACCAGGTCTTTCCTGTATCTTAGTTTTATACTACTATGCTTTTTTAAGTACTTCCTCCCCTTGGATTCTACCTATGTGCCGCCTTTTTTGTTCTGCAGTGCTGGAGATCAAACCTAAAGCCTCCTACTTGCTAGGCAAGTACTGTACCACTAACTAGATCTCCAGCCCCACTTCCCTGCTCTTCTGGAGTGCACATACTCAATCCCATTTTCTTACACTGCCTGGCAAGGAGATACACTTTCTAGGGTTAGGAAGTTCCCTGTTTCTACACCAAAACATTGAGAATAATTGCTGTATGACAATTTTATGATGTTTGTCTTATATGAATACGTTTTTCCTGGTAGGTTGTTGTAAGCTCCTAATGAGAAAGGGACTTGGAGTTAGCAGCAATAGAATTGGTTCTCAAACTTTTTTTTTTGTTTTGATTTACAAACCCTTGTTTGAGGGCTGACTTTCAGTAGATCGCAGCGTTGGTTCTCAAACTGACTTGCGATGTACAACTTTTATATTTGTAGTTTATCACGGAAATAAAGAGATTACAAGCGTGGATATGAAAATTCCCCATACGTTGCCTGTAACTCACTTTCTCTGCCAAAGTATAGCTGAATGCAGATGATCGAAACTAATGTAGAAATAACTTTCATTCTGCCCTAAATTGCTCTTAAAATTATTCACAGCTGCCTTTTTTGTGGCAAAATGTTGAGACCACAGTGAGTTAAGACACCAGATCTGAGAACTGTTTTACATATAAAATATTTAATAGGCAAAATTAAATATAGGGCTAAACTTCTGATAACTCACTCTAAACTTAAAAAGTGTCTTCATAATAGTACGTGTGGGTTTTTATATTTAATCTCAAAATGATGGTTTAAAATTCTACTTTTCTTTTAGGGCACTGTGAATTGGACTGTTGATGACATTGTCAAAGGCATAAACAGCAATAATCTGGAGAGCCAGCTGCAAGCTACTCAAGCTGCTAGGTAAGTCATGGGTGCTGTAATTTGGGTAACCTAGGATATTAGCCTTTACATTTTTTGGTGGCAAGACAGATGGCTAATGGTGTAGGTCAGGTTTACATCAGCTGTAGGACTTGAACTTGCCGTGATCCTCCCACCTCAGCCTCCCAAGTGTTGGGATTATAAGTGTCCATCACCATGCGTGGCTAGAATTTTTCCTTAGTTGAAACTTTTTAACTGTATTTTTTTATGATGATCTAATCTACCCCAACTATTAACTTTTTGAAGTTTTTGTCAAAGTGACCTTCTTTTGTTTTGTTTTTTTGAGATGGTGTCTCACTGCAGTTCAGGCTGGTTTTGAACTCACTATGTTGCTCAGGCTAGCCTCAAACTCCTGGTGATCCTCTTGCCCTGGCTTACTGAGTACTGGGCTTAGAGCTGTGCGCCACCACACCCACCACCACTTGGTGGCTTAAGTCAAAGTATATAGTAGATTTTTGCAGAGATACAATGAGAAGAGTAAGTTAAGTTATATTTAAATTACATTTTGAGATGGTAGTTAGTATACCACACGTGCAGCACTGTACAAGTAATCTGTTTAGTTTCTTCAAGTTCCAGGAATGTTAGCATTTAGTTAGTGCTTTACTTAAAGTGCTCTAAATTTTCAAGGTCCATTTCGAAACTTTTGTTGATCACCTTCAACTTTTGTTTTTCTTGTTTCCTTTTCAGGAAACTACTTTCTCGGGAAAAACAGCCCCCCATAGACCACATAATCCGGGCTGGTTTGATTCCAAAATTTGTGTCCTTCTTGGGCAGAGTTGACTGTAGTCCCATTCAGTTTGAGTCTGCCTGGGCGCTCACTAACATTGCTTCCGGGTCGTCAGAACAGACCAAGGCTGTGGTGGATGGAGGTGCTATCCCAGCACTCATTTCCCTCTTGGCATCGCCCCACGCTCACATCAGTGAGCAGGCTGTCTGGGCTCTCGGAAACATTGCAGGTACTTGCACTTGAAACTCTTCGGACTGAATGTATCTAATCATAATGGGGTGGGAGAAGAGCCGTGTTACTCAGTGATAGTGACCTTGGTGTCACGTTTGGAGCTTGCTTCAGGGCCTTATCAGGGATGAGAGAAAGATCTGAAAAAGGCGCCAGGAAGCATCTAAACAAGTTGGGGAATTTCTGACTGTATTCAGTCACTAAACATGGGTGGTACTGGACAAGTAGATGTGATTAATCTTGGTTTTTGTGTGTGCATGTGGTGATAAGGATTGAATCTGGGGCTTTGTACATGCTAAGAAAATGCTCTGTCGCTGAACTATATCCCCAGCTCCTTAATCATGCTTTTTCTCTTTTCCTCTTCAGGTGATGGTTCAGTTTTCCGAGACTTGGTTATCAAATATGGTGCAATTGACCCACTCTTGGCTCTTCTTGCAGTTCCTGATATGTCATCTTTAGCAGTAAGTTATTCACATAAGTAAAGTTGCTCGCTTTTTTGAGGGGGGGTATTTATTTGAGACCGTCTGGCTTTAAACTCACTCTGTAGCCCAGGTAGGCCTCAGATTTGCAGCGATCCTCCTGCCTCTGCTCTCTGAGTGCTGGGATTACAGGTGTGTGCCACCACACCTGTCAGTTCACTTTTTTTTTTTAGTTGTTCATTTTTAAATTTTGATTTCTTGCATTTCCTCAAAGGACGTGGAAGGCTTCTCATTACTTTTTTCTTTTCCCCTAGGGTGGTTACTTACGTAATCTTACCTGGACACTGTCAAACCTTTGTCGCAACAAGAATCCTGCACCCCCGTTAGATGCTGTTGAGCAAATTCTTCCTACTTTGATTCGTCTCCTGCATCACAATGATCTTGAAGTATTAGCAGATACCTGCTGGGCTATTTCTTACCTTACTGATGGTCCAAACGAACGCATTGAAATGGTTGTAAAAACGGGAGTTGTGCCCCATTTGGTGAAGCTTCTGGGATCAGATGAATTGCCCATTATGGTAAGTTGCTAACCTTTAGACTCCAAAGTTTAAAAGTACAGACAGCATACATTGAAACAATATGTATTTCAGACTGTGCTGACCTCTTTTAAAAACCTTCAGGGGAGATAATTTTTGGGTGGTGCTGGGGAAAATGGTAGCTGTCTCTTATCAACCCTTTTGTTTTCCCTTTTGCAGACTCCCGCACTGAGAGCCATAGGGAATATTGTCACTGGAACAGATGAGCAGACTCAGATTGTGATAGATGCAGGAGCACTTGCTGTCTTTCCCAGCCTGCTCACTCACCCCAAAACTAACATTCAGAAGGAAGCTACATGGACAATGTCAAACATCACAGCCGGCCGGCAGGACCAGATACAGCAAGTTGTACATCATGGATTAGTCCCATTCCTCGTCAGTGTTCTTGCTAAGGTAACTACCCTAAGTTAGGAATTAATCAGATGAGTGTTAGCATGTATAGACAGGCTGTTTTTGATGTTTTTTTGAAAGTCTTGCTGTGCAGTTCATTCAAGCTGGTCTTGAACTCGCTGTGTAGCCCAAGGTTTTTCAAATACAGACATTCCTCTTTTTTTTTTTTTTT